GAGTACAGGTCTTCATACTTATGATAACCATGTTGTTTTCTGAAGAAGCATAATGTGCTTATTCAAGAAACACAGCAAATTAATTCCATAATTTTTGTCTTATATTGTTCAGCTGGAACTTATAAACAAACATATTATTTCAATTCTTTTTTTCAGATATTAAGTCTTAGAAGAGGTACTTGTTTTCAAGAATTACTATGGACAACATGAAAAAAGTTGGTAACAGCTCTTGCAATGATGGAGTTCTACTTAGAATGGGCCTCAATGATAACAAAGCTGGAATGCAAGGTTTGGATAAAGAAAAAATCAATAAAATCATTATGGAAGCTACCAAGGTTGGTTTGAGTACTCTTTTCCTGGTGCTTTATCTGTTATCCAGTATCATAAAGCCCTCTTCCTCCCTTGCCCAAATTTTATCTCACTAAATGGAAGGCAGCTACTAAGAAGAAATGCATGTGTGGGAAGGAAGGGGAGGGACTGTAGCTTGGAGTACCATAGCTACCATACCAACAGTTGGGATTCATGCGCAGGGAAATGAAGGAACGCAACTGAGTACATTCTTAGATGCTCCCTTTTTGCATGAGGCAGACAGATAAATTATCACAGCATTGTCCAGAGGTAAATGGGAATGTTTCTGCTTCCTTAGGCCTCTTGTTTTCCCCCTTTCCGTTCCTTTTGCCCACCCCATCATTAATCAGCCAAGCAGATCTACTTCTATTGGCCACCTTGCTGTAACTGATGAATTGATGTAATCAGGTTTTTCTAGTACTTTCCGTAGAATTTCTTTGTGCCCACTGCCTATTTTCTTCACTGTTTTGTCGGTATTCAAGAGAGGTGGCCAGTAGTGGGCAACTTTGTACCAAAGATCCACAGATGACACAACAAATGTACAAAGCATTGAAATATTAGTCCTCTTACTTTATTGTAAGTAAGAGATTGTTATTGGAGAGTCTTTACATAGAATTATATGGGGATAACACTTTATTTGAGCAGCTCTGGGTTTTTTTACTTTTCCTTGCACAAATGTGTATTTCATTCGGTGTCACTATGGCCCTAGGTTATGTGCGTCATATTTTGCTTAGGAATTCTGTGTTGACTACTGTTGCTCTGTGGTAAACTGCAGGGGCAGGGTGGTGGTGGTGGAGCAGGAAACATACTACAAACAGCTCTTGTTTGGCAACTTTCTTGTTGCTTGCATTTTCACTTTGATGATACTTTATATGCTATCATGCCCCTTATTGATTACATGTTTCTTTTACTTATTCTGTTCACTCATTCTAGAAAACTTAGTGCTTTGTCAGATGTATCCCTAATAATGATGTCTGGATAAATTATTTTTTCAGAACAGTTACTGTTTAATTTCCCTGTATAAAATAGAATAAACTGTAAAATAGGCTTTGAAAACTGATATACAGGCATCTATGTATTAAAATATATTTCTGTCAAAAAGGGCAAAAGAGTGTAAATACTAGATGTAGTTTGAGAAATCTAAAAAGTGCTGATTCTTTTTTAAGCTTTTTTTTTTGTCTTCGAAATTATACCTACAAACATTATGCACAATTGTTTTACAGCAAGATTTTATAGCATTTCAACTGTGAAATACTTCAAGAAACATAAAAAAACCCACAGGTTAATAACAATCTTAAGTATTGGGTTGCCTCCCACACAAACATTTTGGTACTTATTTCTTTCAGTGAGTCTCAACAAGTCATGTCTGATTGTAGAGGGGATAAAAGATGAAATGCATGTCTGATTTTGAAAAAAGACACATTCTAATGTCTTACAATTGAGATTTCTTCTAAGCTATGAGACATGACACATTACAGTCTTGCCATTCATCATTTTTATGATTATTATAAAAGTGGATATTTTTGCTTTTTATATAAATGCCTAATTCTTACTTGACTATGGCTGAATTCTAGGCATCACAGTTTGGCAGTCAGAGGCTTTGAGCTAAAGATTTTTCCACTTTCGGAGACTTTATCAGGTGGTTCAATAAAAGACATTGCCTCTTCCTTCAAATGTTATTTCTCTTGTAAGCTAAGCAGATGTTGCAAGGAAAGTATTTTATTTCCTGGTTTTTAATTGTCATCTTTTCTATTTCATTATATCCCCTCTTTTCTTTGTTATGAGTCAGCAAGGGAAGTCATGCTATACATTCTGTACATGATTCTTGCCTTTTTATGTTTTTGTTACATCTCCTTTTATTCACTCCTTTTCTTGAAGGAGTAATTACATACTTGAGAGCAAGAGGGCTTTTTTATATGCATTTGCTTTTCATCATCCCCTTCCAAATAGCTTCTAATTCTGCGGTGTCCTTCAGGATGAAATGGTTGATGAAATACTCAACGTTATAAGTGGATTTGACTTTTACAATGTTATTATTTATTTCCATGTAGATTAAAAGCTTAAGCCAAATTTTTTTAGAGTTTTATACTCCTTATCTTGGAGGTGTTGCGAAAAATAGCTTGACTGTTACGTACTATTTTGGAATTTTTGTTGTCAAGTGTTAGAACAAGTAAACATAGTAAGTTCTCTAAATAGTCCCTTATAATCATCTTGAGTGCAGGGCATGTGAGAAGGAGAAATGTATTTGTGTCATTTGAGGAAAGACGTGTGAAACACCAGTGGTCTCTTTTTTGCATCGTTTATATGATAATCCAAAGTATGCATTAGAAACCGTTACTGTGCTTTACATTTTCTGCATTTAAAGACCAAATGTGATTGTTTATAGGAAAAGATGGAGTAAAAACCTTAATGTTTTTGCAATTTTCTTCCAGGGTTCTAGATTTTATGAAAATGAACTTAAAAAAGATCAACAAGTTAACCAACGAATTGAAAAAATGATGCAGCTGAAAGAGAAGATTACAACACAACAGCTCTTGAAAGCACAGCTGCAGGTACTAATCTTGTAAAGTCTTTCTGGAGTAAATGGCAAATAATAAACATTTTGGTGTGTCCTAGTTTATTGTGTTAAATTCTGGTGATAAGCACAATGTTAACTACCATTTTGATATTAGTCGTGCAAGTGAAAGTGCACAATGTTATGATGATATAATCTTCATAAAGACTTGCTAGAAGAATAGATTGTAAAATCACTCTGAAATGTTCTCTAATTGAGTAAAATGAAGCAAAGTAATTCCTGTTTTTCTAAGTTTGATCAGTTGAAAGGTATGTAATTATGGTTTATGTAAAAGTTATGTTAAATACTTTATTAATAAATATATCAGTCTTGAGTTTACTTTCTGTTTTTATTATATATGTGTATTTGTGTTCAGTGGCCTACAGTGGGATGAAGGGGATCACAGCTGTCAACTCTTCTGCATATGATTTATTAATTATTTATGCTAATTAATGAAAAAGTCATCATGGCAAGCAGTCACAAGAAATACAAGTGTCCTGAACTAGAAAGACGAAGAGGCTATTTATTTTCTCAAATGCCAATGATAGATGATAGTATCCAAAGTATTACTATGTATGAAAGGTTGTTAAAAGGAAACAGCACCAAGGTTACACAGTAAACATTCTCAGGTGCAGAAGAATTAAAGTTCCTTGTAGAAGCTTAATTCCTTTCCTTTTTCATTTGTACTGTGATTCAGTCTTTAATTACATGATTGCTTGTTACTTTTCCCTAACAGGCTTCCTGCTTCATTCAGTGCACAGTGCAGACAGTGTTCACTGAGTGGGCAATTATTCAATATTTACTGTTGTCATTGTTCAGTGGGTGACTCCAAGGTTTATTTGTTGTACACTAGTCTAATCCAGTTTTGAATAAGAATTACTGACTTCTTCATAGGCTTTTCTATGTTGTACATCACATAGTGTGAATTCTTTAAATTATTCTTGCAATACTCCAGCAAAGTAGAGTGATATTTTTGTTTTGTAGATGAGGAGCTGAAGCACGTGAAAATTAAACACATCCATTAATTTTGCATGGCATTGTGAGGATTACTGGTCCTGAGCTTTGGTGTACAATCTTTTTTTATTCTTTGCAGATTTGCAAATCACTTCTGTAAATTAGATGCCAGTGTATCAAATTTGTGCCCAGAAAAGCTGGCAATTACTGAGTACCTCTGAAAAGTTTGTTACAAGCCTGTATGCCTCAACTGTTTTTAGTTAATCTTTAACATGGATCAGTTATGTCTTTGCTTGTCAGTTGGGGTTTTTTTAGTTTTCTGGGGTAGCTTTTAAGTCATTTAATTCTGAAAAAATATTTCCATTTCCATCCCTCCTTCACCACAGAACTTTTCATTTTACAGAGAACAGTCTTTCTTATAAAATGAATGACATGAATGACACAGATTCATTACATAATTAAAGAATATATAGTGCATATAATGAAAGCAAATACATCTGAATTCCTTTGACTACCCTCATGCTTTTTTCTAAACTTGATTCTTTGATCTTGCAATATGTTATTTTCTTTTAATGTTTTATATGAAAATTGCTTTCTATAGAAGAAAAAAGGAACTTAAAAAAAGAGAGAAATTCTTTCATGTGGGTCTTACTGGGACCTGAGTTTCAAACTCCATGTTTGAAATATTCATGCCACTTACTCAGATGGCAGTTGTCTTTATTTCCAATGGAGTCACTGTTAAGTCAGCTGCCGTACTGCATGAGAATTGTCACTAGAGGGGGATAACATGCACACTTTTTTTGCTGGCTAATTTTAGATCTTTGCTGCTATAAAGCCATCTAAAAATGTTGGATTTTGGTTCCATCCTCTGTATGCGTGTAAGCTCTGGTCATGATTGTTGTTGCTGTCATTTCTTCATCACAAGTTCTGACCCTTCTGCTCTCTCCTCTCCTTTCTTTTAATTTATCCTCTCCTGAATTTTCCTTATCTTGTTCTGCATCCCCAGATTACCATCAGTCCTTTTTCCAAAGCAGTCCTTGTCTATGCACCCAGAGTCCCCACTGAAGTCTCCAGTCTTCTGATCCAGCCAGTCTTTATCTGGTTATGTCTGATAGCCTATATGCCTCCCTGTTTTCCTGTCACTTAACTGCCAGCTACTCTTCCCCAGGCCATTGTCTCCACCTTTAACTTTGCAAGTCTGGTTCATACTATTTGGTTTTCTTAATATGTGCTGTGTGTTGTTTAATCAGCTTTCGTAGGTCTTCAGATGTGAATATGGTCAGCTCTCATTATCTTCTTTCTTCTTTATTGTTGTTGTCTATCCAGCTCTTTAACGGTTTCTTTTTAGTACTACCTTCTGATACACCATGAGAGAATTTGTGCTTCTAAAATTTGTAAGTGGGAGGTACTCCAGTGGTTATCACTGCTTGTTATCTCTTCACTTTGTCAGATGCTTTTACAAATATAAAAGAGATTTTGAATAATCTTTTCTGTCTTACTTTGACAAAGCAATTTAAGATAGAAAACTTGTATTTTGCATCATGGGATAAGAAAGAATGAGAGGTTACTCTTTAAGTTGTCTAAAAGTCAGTATAAGCAAAATTAAAATTCTAATTACAATTTTTACTTTAGAGTTTTTTTAATCTAGCTTAGAAGTAGAAAAACTTAGTATCTCTTTTCAAATCTTCAATGCTCTTTCAAATCTTCAAAGGAAAATTGAAAGCAGCTTTTAAAAACTTGTCAACCTGGCTTGCCTATGGAACTATTCCATAACTTTCCTTATCTTACTAAGGAAACATTTGTAGGTGCCCAGAATTCTCTCAGTATGTTTGGGTGTGTTTTGTTTTGGCATATTACTTGTATCAGTTGCTTTTGTTGAAGAGTTATGCTTTTGTATTTCTGATTAGTTTAATGCAATTTTACTTCATTCTTTAGATGTATATGTTAGCTGATCAACATGGGAGAAAAAGCAAAAAGAAGTTTGTTAAAATGTGATAAACTGAAATACAGAAGTTATGTAGTTAAAGGAGCAATTGACAATTAATTAAGCAATTTGAATTTGAGAGTAACCTGAAAACTATCTGTGAAGTATGTTTTAAAATAAGGGTACTTTTCATTATTATAATGTGACTTGAATCCTTGTTGAATTAGTAGCATAATGATACTAATGTAAATTCCCCGGTTTTTGTTGTTGTTGTTTGAATAGCTTTTTCCTTGTGCTTTTAATTTGTCTAAACCAGTTTTCTTGACCTCAGGGAGCATACTGTGCTCTTGTGTATGGAATAGCCTAGTTTGAGGCCCCATTTTAGCCTTTCATCCCTCAAATCAATTTAGAACAAAACAGAGAAAAAACTTTGTAAATTATTACTCAGCAATTTAGTTAGAACATTCATAGCCATTTGCCTTGGTTCAAGTGTCTTCAGCTCCAAAGATGGGGTTTTGGATAAGTTGTTACGTTCTTTGTTAAGCACTTCTACTGAGGGGAAAAAGAGAGAAACTGTCTTAAAGTAAGAGTGCAAATTGCATATAAATAGCCCTCTCCAGGACCATAAACTCATTGTAATCAAGCCAGAGACATTTCTGTAATGGTACCTTGATGTCATGAATGAGTCTGCGTGTCTGTGCTTGCAAGCAAAGTGAAACTTCGGTTCCTTTTCACTATTTGCATTTCTTGAGCTCTTTTATGCTTAGTTGTTGTTTTTTTCTAGCAGTAGCAACCTTGTCTTGTGTAAATAGAGGTTAGCATAGTCATTAGTGTGGTTAGATAATCATAGTTTGATAGCACTTCTTTTTATAAAAAAATATTTTCTTTTGCTTAGAGTGTGATGTGTAGTACTGGCAGCATAGTTATCTTAAACCAGTAGACCTTAAAAATCACCTGTCAAATAATGCACTCATGCTTCTGGTGGCACTCACAGTTCATGCCTCATTCATAGGTGACAGATATTTCAGAAACAAGCACATGATCTGCAAGTCTTTTGTTAAAAGAATGCAAGCAAATTAAGCACAATTAAAGTATTTCATGGCGAGGTCTGTGTGTGTGGCCTCTGCCTCACAGCACCATGGAGCTGATGAAGCAGGAGTACTGCTTACAGTCTACTAATAGACATTAGATCTTTAACTCTTGGAATGAAACACACTTTCTAGGTATGGACTTTTCTTTAAAAGTCACCTTGAAGTTTTGCTAGCAATCTAGCCTTATATGATACAGATTCCTGTAAAAAGTGTTGAGGAATTTTATGACAGGATTAACAGCAGCTTGCTTAGCAGTCAAAGAACCTGTTTGTTTGCGACCTTATTTCCAACAAGGCAAGATAGATGGATCTGCCCTGTGAGTTGTAGGTCTTCTCTTCATCTCTTTAGGCCGATTTTCTGAAGTGTGATAGCTTAATTTAGGAGTATTCTCTAACAGCATGTTTTCAGTTGTATTTTTTTAAATAACCTGTATCACAGGAGCTAAAGCTGCATGTTCAGTGGTCTTAGAAAGTTTCTGTCTAAATTGGATGATCCATCTTTTTTTTTTTTTCCACACAGTGTTTTTGGTTTTTTGGGGGTTGGGGTTCTTTCATTAGGTTTTGGGGTTTTTTTTTGTACTGTTTGCTGCAGCAGTGTTCTCTCTGAGAGCAAGTTTCATCAGAAAGATGGTTGGGGCGGGGTTTGATGCTGGTTTGGTAGGGTTTGGGTTTGTTGGGTTTTTTAACAATATGCCAGGTGGATTTGAGTTTTTAGGATCATCTGTACTATTGCACTTCTGCCAGATTAATAGTTTTTCAATTATTGGTTTATTCTGTTCAGGTGGACAAACTTGTGGTAGAACTGGAACAAAGCCGTAACCTTAGCAATACAATTGTACACATTGACATGGATGCCTTCTATGCAGCTGTCGAAATGCGAGACAATCCAGAGCTGAAAGAGAAGCCTATAGCAGTGGGATCAATGAGTATGTTGGTAAGGCCAAATGTCAAGCTAATACAGAAATCAATTACATGAACCTAAAGCCTAATAAACCATACAATAATAACATAATATAATGACACTGTTATATAGATAATTTTTGTAAGTGTGGAAAACTAACAAAAATAACAGAGGAAATAACTGTTCTTAGACTAGACCATGTAAGCTGGATTTAATTTTCAGTAAAAAGTCTACTGATGTAAGTTCAAAGGATGTAAACAGATTGAAAAGGCAGAAGGGGGAATACATATAAGCGCTCAGCCTTGTCAGTCTTTTCTGCATGAGGATATGTAATTAGATCTTGATTATTTAACAATAAACTTCAAGAAAAACTTCATTACTGAACACTAAACTTATTTAATCTCTCCTAAGTCCACCTCAAATTACCACGCTCGGAGATTTGGTGTACGTGCAGCCATGCCTGGATTTATTGCTAAAAAGCTATGTCCGCATCTAACTATAGTACCATTAAATTTTGAAAAATACGGCAAAGTGAGTAAAGAGGTAAGTCTGAAAGTGCTCTCTAACCAAAAGTCAGTGTACTCTGGTTTAGACTCTATCAATACATCAGTTCTAGATAACATGGAACGTGGTAGTTTAAATATTAAACTCTTCAGTCATGTGGCTTTGAGCGTCAGTTAAACAAAACGTTGATGCTTTTGGACAAGGAGGTGAAAAAACATTGCGTTCACCCATCGTGCCATTTTAACTGAAGTCACTAGCGGTGCTGATAGAGATTTTCAAAACTGTGTAGTGAGCTGATGATGACACTTGAGCCTTATTATTCTTTAAACTTCAAAATCATGGAGCATAATCTAATTACTAGGAAGTTGCAAGTGCATAGGAAATGTGGAGATAATCATTTCATACAATGCATAATCATAATTTTGAATGTTAATTACTGGAGAGAGAAACAAAAACATTAGTGAGTTCTAAATGCAGATTCATTTGTTCTAAAAGAAGGGACTTGAAATAAAGAGCAAGAAATCAGGGAGAAAAGAAATCACATTTTGCTTTAATGCAAGTGATTTTACTTAGTGCCAGGAGAAATGTTTAGGATAGCCAAAATCCTGTTTTTTTAAAAAAAAAAAAGTCTTTTGTAGGTCTTAGATTAAACTAGTGCATGGCACAAGTCTCCTGACTTCAATAAAATTATGCCAAGGTTTATTTCTTTATTGTCATGAAGCCTCAATCTCTTCACATAACTAAAGGAAGCTAATTACTAATTTTGATATTACTAGATTTTTCTCACTTCTGTTGCAAAAAGGTATATACAAATATGAGTATTTTAGAATGGGTTTGAACTTGTTACGGATCTTTTGGGAAGATCCACTTATCACTAAAGACTTTTCTAACAAGTTTTGCCTGTGGCGTTACAGAATCACAGAATCACTAAGGTTGG